AGATATTTCCAAGACTTTTAATATAGTTCTCAGTAGTAAACCGAAATGGCCTGAATTGGTCCTAACTATCATTTACTAAGGTGTATGAAGTAGGATTTTCAACTGATCTAGGCTTCTATGTGTGGTAATAGCAAAAAGACCAAGTGAAAGAATAATATAACTTTAAGAAGGCTATGCTGACAATCAGGAGACTTGAATTTGAAACTTGCCTTTGCCTTGGGTATGTCATTTAGATTTCAAATTAGAATGTTGAGTTAAATAATCAGCATAGTCCATTCCAAATAAAAATTCTGTAATATCCATTATGAATCAAGAATTAAGGACACCATTTCTTGTCTTTTTTTGGCTGGAGATAGGGAACTGTGAGGTGTCAAATTATGCCACATGTTCCTGTTGGTCTTTTAATTCTCTGTATTTGGCTGTGTCTATGTATGTGTTTTTTGTGAGCATGCCTGAGAGCAATATAAAGTAACTAAATTAAATAATACCGTAAATGTGGAAATACTGTTGGATTAAGTAGGTTTCAGGCTGACTGTGGAGAGAATGCTCGTTGCTTTCTACTGAGGGAGGGTCTGACCAGTGGAAACTGGAAAGTGAATATAAGCGATTCCCACTGAGTTCTCTATGTTCCCAACAGCAGCAATTACTTTTAACATTCCATGAATAAAGTGTTTTGAAGATTCCCTTGTCATTTTTTCCACTTAAAATTGGTAGTCAACAAAGACACTTTTCTAAGGAAGATAGATGGTTAGAATTTTGGCTGTGTTATATTCTATGGAAAACTTAGATGAATTTTCCATAATAAGTCTCCAAATTAACTCTGATCTTTGAGTGAAAACATTCTTACATAATGAAATAATTCAAGACAGACACTGACTATGCTGCATTTATACCAAAAAAGTACAAAAGTCCCTATTTTATTTTTATTTTTATGAAGCACTGAAACTATATAATATCATCTATATGGCTGTTTTGGAAAACTTTTTGAAAACGTTTATGTGTTAATACATTTGTCTTTTGAATTTCAATCTGAACTGACAATATTTAATAAAGTATTGCTATCAGATCAAGTGCTTATTCTTTGAAAAAAAAAGAATTTAAAGAAGTCCAATATAGACTAGGAAGGAATTACTGAATTTTCTCTAAATATATTACATTAGGCAAGCTGACTGATGATTTTAAAGCTTATCTATGCATCACATGCACACTGGCCTGGGACATCTATCCTTGTTATCAAGCTTTCATAAACATTAGGCAAAATATCCTTACCCTGGAATGATATCCATTTCTTCTAGCAGCCTACTGTTCCATTTGCCTGTCATGAGAAAGGTGGATCGCTGTATTTCTGGCTCATGATGATTGTAGAGCAGTCACAGAATTAAATGAATTTGCAGTTAGGTGATAGTTGCTTGCCCATTAAGTTAAGATATTGATGATCTCTTTGTATTTTCCTACTGTTTTTTTTTTGCTTGCAATTCCCCCTGCACCCCAATTGCTGACATTCTCACATCAAATTTCTCTCTCATCCAATTCAGTTGTTTTACTGAGAAAATTTTCATTCACCCAAACTTCTATTTTATTGTCTGTTGTGTATCTTCAGTACTGTTCTACCTTACCATTTTAAAGGAGTTCACTAGAATAATTTAGTTTAGTTTTTTTTTTAAACTTTAAATTTTGGTTAGAAAACATGAAGGAAGAAAACGGCCAAGTTCAGTGCTACCTAAAAATAAAAACAAAACAAAAAAGAAAAATCATTTACTCCAGAGCTATTCTCCTATAATTCACATGATATTAAATCTGTTTTCAAAAGCAAATTTACTTTTGCAAATGTGTTTGAATGTTTTGTGAAAAATACTAATGCTTACTTAGTAAATGATGTGGATTTAATATAACAGAAGAATCACTGAAATGGAAATGACAAATTGTAATTTATTAATCATATATGGGAGATGTTATGATGTTTCACGCTTTTATGTATTTTTTTGCGCTTAAATGCAGTAAAATAATTTTGTAACTAAGGCATTTTAAATTAAATATTATGCATTTAAAAATATAACATTCATTAAAAAACAGGAAATCTGATATTTTTCTTCTTTGAATACTTTTGTGCAGGGTGCAGTGATGCATGCCTATAATCCCAGTGGCTCAGGAGGCTGAGCCAGGAGGGTTGCAAGTTCAAGGCAAGTCTCAGCAGTTTAGCAAGGTCCCAGTGAACTTAGTGAGATCTTGTTTCAGAATAAAAAATAAAAACGCTGCGGATGTGGCTCAGTGGTTAAGCGCCCCTGGGTTCATCCATAGTACCCAAACAAAAACAAACCTTTTCTGCCTTCAGATCCTAGGAAATGGGCTATTTACAAATGAGTAGAAAGAAGTATTCACTTTTTTTTAGACAGTGCATGGATTTTCATGAGGACTAGTTTAGGCTAAGGTTCAGTAATTACCATCATTTTAAGCAGTAGAACATAGGAATTCATTTCAACTAATATTAGGCATGACACTAATTCGGTATTAAATGCTAAGCCCATTAGCAATTACTTACAGTGCACTATTACTTTCCGAGTCTCTGTAGTAAGTTTTTCATCATTAATGATTTTTTTTCTTTTCTGTGCAGCACTTACTATGTGTAGTAGTATGACTTCAAAAGAGGCCAACCATTCGAATTTTGATTTACATCCATTTAGGTATATTCCTTATGACCAAATCTACCTCTCCCAAGCAATCATAAGAATCATCTCTTTCTACAGAATTTAATAGAATACTGGATGGTTAAATCGCTGTGCTTAATTCATAGGAAACCAACAGAAGTTTGTTTCTATAAAAACAATAAACTAAAAAGAGAGCCTTGAATCTTTGTCTAATTCATCAAAGTGTAATTACAGTTCTACTGTCTGACTCATTCCCCTTTACAGTCCAAAGATAATTTCTGTGGTATATTATTATACATTGAAATAGGATAATTGCTTTTCTAAAATATATTCACATAAAAATATGTAGGTAAGTTCATAATGTACCTAAAATCATGGATATTATCATTATTGCTCTTTGTTGTTAAATTTGAAAGCAAAAGTTGAAAATATTTATAAAAAGAAGAGGCTCAGTAATCCTGAATTAAATAGGATGACCAACTATCTTAGTTTGCTCAGGACTGAGAAGTACTTAGGGTTTTTAGTTTTAAAACTGGGACAATCCCAAGCAATTTTTGTATTAAAACCAGGTCAGTAAGAGGAAAATGGGTACAAGTTGGTTACCCTCAACAAAGATAAAATAGTGGTGGAATGAAGACTGTTTTGGGGAAAGGTACTTTGAAAAACATCTTGTTCTTGCACTTTAGGATTTTCTAAATTTCTCCTCTTTCTACTTTCACAACTCTAAAGTCAAGCTAGTTAATATTAAGAACCCTTTTATCTCTCTGGATCCAGAACCAAGAAAGTAGTAACACTCAGAAGTCCTTCTAAGGCATTGAGGGATAGAGGATTGAGTTCTATATTGAATGGTCAAGAGTCAAATTAAGTCTTTGCCATTCATTAAGCAGGTGATTCTGTACCTCTGTTTTCTCAAATAATAATAATAATAATAATAATAATAATAATAATAATATCCAACATGTTGGGTTGTACCAACGTGCCTATTTTGCATTAAAAATGCCAAGAAGTTTGTTAGTTTTATTGTGGTCTTGATTATTATTAGCAACTTGGTCCAAGCCAGTATGTTGTGGCAGTAATAGTAACCTTCATATCTAAAGTCTTAGAAGTACTTGTTTGTTTTAGCAATTTTCTGCAAAGTTTGGCTTCCATCATCTAAAACGTTCAGCTGTACTTTTATTTCTTTATTTATTTTACCTGTTCAAGATATATACATAAAATGGCAAGAGAAAGTTTCAAACTTAGGACTCTTCTAGGAAATGAAGCCTCAGTTGAATGGACAAGTGGATAGTGAAATTACCAGTGTTCTCTTTGGGTTAATTATGTTGTTCGTGAAGGATGCTAACACACTTCATTTCTTCAAATAACTACTTTATTGAATATCTCATGAAATGATCCTGAGATTCCATTTAGAAAGGCATGGCAATATTTATTCTTAATCATGAGGATTGGTTGCAAAACTTAAGAGCATATTGGAGTTTAATATGCCACAGTTTGGCCAGGTATCAGCAGAACTTTGCTTCTATTAAAGCTATGGCAAAGGGAGATTGTTAAAGGCAGATTGTGATTTAACTGAGAGATTCCAGAATATGAACTTAGATCTTTCAAAATGGCATTGTTTTAAACATCAAGGTTTCATCCTCTCTAGACAGTGAGGGGAGGAGGAAATCAATCATGTATTACACTCCACTCTACTCCACTCTAGATTTGTGATAGTCACCTCCTACTGAGAAGAAAGTAGATTTGTGTTTGACCTTTGGTTTTTTATTTTAACCAGTTAAATTTACAAATGTTAGAATCACTCAAATGTTTGATTGATAGAAATATGGTCCCTTAAAATCTGAAAAACCTGTTAAAACCATGATTGAAAAAAAATGTTGATTTTTAATAATGAAAGAGCCAGGTGCGGTGGTACATGTTTGTAATTCCAGTGACTCAGGAGGCTGAGGCAAGAGGATCCTAAATTCAAAGCCAGCTTCAGCAATGACAAGGTACTAAGTGAGAGCAGTCTCTAAATAAACTCAGTGAGACCCTGTCTCTAAATAAAATACAAAAATAGGGCTGGGGATGTGGCTCAGTGGTTGAGTGCCCCTGAGGTGATCCCCAGTACAAAAAAGAAAAAAAAAAGAAAAAAGAAAAAAAAAAGCAAGAGAAAAACTGCAAATTCTGAATTTTGTATAATTAGAAAGCTTTTAAGGGAAAATCAAATTGTTTTTCATATTATAGGCTAACATGATATATTGTTCTATACTATATCTTGAACAATATATTCTATATCTTGAACACCTTTTTAAAGTGTAAGTCATTTGTAAGTGTTGCATCTTTTCAGTCATTTAATTTCTTTATTTTTTATGACAGTTCTGATTCTCAGTATTAGATTCATTGTGGAACATATTTTTTTAAATTTTAATTCTAATTTATTTATATATGATAGCAGAATGAATTGCAATTCATATTACATATATAGAGCACATTTTTTATATCTCTGGTTGTATACAAGGAATGAGATGAACATCATTAGGGAACATATTTTGTATCATAAAAATTGTATTTAAAATGACAGTGCAGCATGTATACATCCTATAGTTGTGTATAATTATACTAAATAGTGAAAGTATTTACATGATTCAATGTTAAAAGCTCACTTTTGATTAAAATCTCTGAAGTTTTTTTAATCTTTGGGGTTAAAATGTGTACAAATGAGGATGAATCTTCTCTACTTTGTTCTGCTCACAGACATTAAATAACCTCATTTAAGCCTCAGTGAACTCTGAAAACAAAGCCTTGCTTAGCAATTGATTGATGATGTCCCTTATCAATTGTTCCTAATATATTTTTAGATATAAACTCTTGGCCTCATGGACCCTAATTATAGATCTATAAGGAAATGTCATTTGGTATTAAACATTTTCCCGGGAAGTAAAAAATTCCCACAGGTTAAAATAAGATAAAAATTTGGACATTTGCCTGGGAGAAGGAAATTTTCACAGAAGCACTTTCAAAATATAGTCAGTTCCAAAAAGTCACAGTACTTCTGCTTAGTTCACTTTTAATTAAGACAACAATAATTCAGAACTATTATTTACTGGTATTTGTAAGGTATTCATTACAAATGAAAATGTTTCGGGAATTATCCACTTTATATATTACATTCTGAAATAAATGCACTTCCAAAATGTTTGTGTTGGAAAGCAGACAAATTAAATGTATTATGTCATCAACACTAAGAGAATTAGATCATAATCTCTGTGGAAGAATGCTTAGGATTGTATATCCTTTGTCATTTACACCTCTAATTACAAACAAGTATACTTTAAATCAAAAACCTTGTTAATATGCCAGTGACTAGCGGTTTTTTTCTTTCTTTCTCTTCTTTTTCCTTCAGATCCAGAATTGCATCTTGAAGGCAAAAGTGAGCAAGTTTGAGCAAGTAATCTTGGCTAACTTTCAATTCTAGTAAATAGTTCTGCATTGCAACTCATTTTTAAATTTATAATTTATCTAGTTTGTTTTAGTGTTAAAGAATGGACAGATTGAATATTGAGGATGATAAAGTATTGAGTGCTCAGGAATAGTAGTTTAAAAGCTTTTATTTAAGAAGCTATAAAATTGGATGAGTTGATGAAGATTTAGGTAAATATTAGGAACTTAGGCAAATATTAGGCAAATACTTTGGGAATTCTAAACGTGTTCCTATGATGTTGGAAGAATAACCCTTGGACAGAACGGACGCGATCCAACTGTCATCATTTTAGGAAGTATTGAGTGGGTAGGGAAGGAGGTGTGAGTAGGAGAGAGGTAGATTCACGAATATATACTAGTGTATATATATACTGGTATATATACTGGAATATATACTGGTACACTGTACAGTATCCTGTAGACCCTGTAATTACCCCTCATTTTTACTATTTTCCGTCTTCTTCAAAGTTGTGTCAAAATTCCTACGTTGTCATCCAAGTGGAAAGAAAGATTTCTAACAGCCTGGTTGTTACCGCGGCAATATTTTAAAAGATATGATTCAGTTTCAGGATGTACTTTTTGGAACTTGGAAATAATTTTATGCCACTACCCATTCTCGACCCAAACCAGCAAATGGAAGAAGCAGGGGTCCATCAGTGAACTCCCCTGTGGACACTGTCTCAAGAGGATGGGATAAAGGACAAGCTGAGTAGTCTTCTAGGGCCCAAATCCGTTTTGGCCTTTGCACTAAGAAGAGTTCATTGATCTGAGTTCCCAAGGTGACGAAAGGAGAAAATTAGCAGGAAGAGCAAGCATAGTAGCAATGCCTGTGGGATGGAGATGAGGGTTCGGAACCTTTCCTCCACCCTCTTCCCCAGAGGATGTAAGGGGGAATCCCTCCCAGGCATCGCTCTCATATCCTAAGAGGCAAGTTTCTCTGCAAGCCTTAGCCACCTGTGTGAGGAGCTCCCTGTGGGAAAGGAGGCGTGATAGAGGGAGAGCTCAGAGTCACATCACTCCGGAGCTTTTCTTTGGGAGGCTGAGGGTCAAAACACCTCGGAGAACTCCGAGCTTGTAGGATGCGTAGTTCACCCCGCCCTCCAGGGTGGTCAGGATCCTGGTCTCCCAGGGGATCCACCAGCCGGTACGCTCTGGAACCCTCTGATGCCTCCCCAGTTTGCTCCGGGTCCTTCTGTCCGCTCCCTCCTACTTCTCCACCCGCAAAGTGATGCTCCCGCCTCGCTCCGCCTGCACACCCCCTAGCGCGCCCCAAAGCTTTATCAAGCTCCCTACACACGCCGCCGCCGGCTTCCTTTGGCGCCCGGCACTAGTGACCCGGGATCATCAGCGGCTGCCTCTAGAGGCCCCCATTTAAGTCCCCTCCTCCCACTCCCGGGCCACCGCGCCTCCGGGGGCTTTTCTCCCCCACGCTACAGCGCCCACCGCGTTTCAGGTTGAATCCCAGGTTGGATCTGCTGTCTTGCTCATCTCCACACTGAGCCTCTTGGTAAGCCCAGAGAAGTGGAATCTGCACACAGAAACTCTCGGTGGCTGGAGCCGGCGGACTGGGCATGCTCAGAAGCCAGGGTTGGCTTTGGTCTCAACTAGGAAGCTTTTGCTCTCGGGAGGCAGCGGCGACTTTGGGGAAAGTTGATCAGAGAGGGGAGGAAGCCCCAAGACGCGGAGCAGCGGCAGGAAGGAGCACCCGGCAGCCCGGAGGAGTATGGGCACCCTACGGGATTTACAGTATGCGCTCCAGGAGAAGATTGAGGAGCTGAGGCAGCGGGATGCTCTCATCGACGAGCTGGAGCTGGAGTTGGATCAGAAGGACGAACTGATCCAGAAGCTGCAGAACGAGCTGGACAAGTACCGCTCGGTGATCCGACCGGCCACCCAGCAGGCGCAGAAGCAGAGCGCTAACACCTTGCAGGGTGAGCCGCGCACCAAGCGACAGGCGATTTCCGCGGAGCCCACCGCCTTCGACATCCAGGATCTCAGCCATGTGACCCTGCCCTTCTACCCCAAGAGCCCACAGTAAGCAGGGGTTACGCGCCGGATCCATGTGGCACCCTGGCGGTGGGGAGCTGCGGGTCTCTGTATTGTCTGTCAGCCCCCGCCCCTCCCGCTTGCCTTGTCTGTCCTCATCCTCAGAAATGTTTCATTTTCACGGGCACTTCTTGCGGGGTTGTGCACGTTTCTCAAAGCCAGACTCACTGCACATACATTGCCTTCATGCCTTTGTCAAATGCCAAGGTATTTTAAAAATATACATTGATATGCCACCTACTGTACCTAGAGTTTGAACTCGCCCCAGGTGTGTGTCCCACCATGTGTGTGAGTGAGGAATAAAACCCCCCATTCCCCAAAGCCCTGGCAAACCTGCCCAGCCGGAAAATCCTAAATGCAGGCTCATCAGACTTGAAATGAAATGCGTCTGATATCACCCTTACTTTCCGTGCTCTCGTGGCTCTCCTGGATTTCTCTACATGCTGGTACTTCACGCTGGTACCCTTCAAACCTGATGTTCTATCATCCCCAAAGTGCAAAAATACGTAAATATGCATATAAGAGGGAAGAATTTTTGATTTCCTGAATTGGATGACATTTACAATCCATAAATGGATGACTAGTCTGTTGATTCTTTAAAAATGTTCTGTTTTATAACATCTGAGGGGGAATATTGCTTATTTTCCTGAAGGAATTTTAATGATTACTAATGAACAGATCCATCTCCCAAGAGGGTTGTATGTTTCCAGGGTCCAAAACAGATAAGTGCACTTATCTTTATCTTTATTTACAGTGTGGACACATACTCTGACTTACTCCTGGCTTCTAATGAAACCACTCTGGTATTGGTCTAGCATTTTAGAGAACCCTGTACTTCTAATGCCAGTGGGCTTCATAACTTGGATGAGACAATTCAATGAAACTTGTTACACAACACTCAACTCAGAGTCCATTTGGAAAATAAGCAGCAAGAGCATGAGATAAACTGAGAATGAGTAAGAGCACCAAAATAAATTGTATTTTAATTGATAGATAATGACATAATTGATAAAACAAAGGATTTTGCTGCTCTACTCTTAACTACATCACATTGGCTGGATGACATATGTTACGTAATAATAATATAAGGTCTCTTGGAACCCTTTACTTCATAAACATAAGAATTAATATAAGGAGAAAGAGTGAATACTTTATTATCTCCATTTGTATGTATTGGATGGGGGTGGGTCAAGAGTAGGTACTGATCATACTTTTGGAAACTTTAGAGTTGTACCTATCTTGGTTCCCATGGAACATTTGCAATTCTTCATGTAGTTTTAGCTTAAGGAGGAGTTTGTATTCTGCAAAGGAGTGGAGAATAAACCACAAGGATAAATATTTCTGAGATTCTAAGCTTACCAAGTTGCAATAATAGTTCAGTAGAATTAGACCTGTCTTAGAAACCTGAGTGATCTGACTTCACTGCAACTTTCTCTGGTAAATTAATTTGCAGTCCCGACATGCTTGCCTGTTTTAGCTAATGAGGTACATGGCCATCTCTCCTGGGCCAGGTTTTGCATAATGAAAATATAACTCAAAGACAGGTCTTTGCATCTTTAAGCATTCTATAGCATCTCATTTTACTATCTGCAAGACTTTGGAGTAACATAGAGCAAGCTCTGCTTTTAAAGAAAGACCATTTTAATAGGTTTTATAATGAAGCATGATCAAGCTAGCTGATAACTCCAGTTAAACATTCTATCAGAGAAGATCTAACGAAATGTAGGCAGCAGGGAATGAACTGTAGAATGTGGTAAGTTTTAGAATCCTCTTAGTGCTTGACATGTAGAATAACTAGATTTTTTTTTCAAGTCTGGTAGAAAATGAAATTACTGTGGCAAGTAATTTATAAAATTCCATTATAATAAACATTTTATCTTTTGAACAATGCTATGCATTCTGATATTTATTTAATAACTTGCTCTTTAAAGAACTCAGTTGGTAAGGTATTGCCATGGTGGTTTTTGTGATTCTTGAAGGATTATATTGAAGAAAATGATAGAATGTCTTCCAAGCTTAAATAATTTTGGAAAAACATCTGTTCTTTTTTCACACTTACATAAAGAAAATGAGAATAAAATTGGCTTGAGTGGTTGAGTGTACCTTTCTTAGGGAAAAAAAGAAACATATTGTATGCAGAATGACTATTATCTTTCACTATTGGAACAATTGTAGAAGATAGCTCCACAGGGAATTCAGAAAACTTGCCAATCTGAGGAAGACTAGTTTGCATTTCAATTTATTTCATTTGAATAATTTGATCACATAGACTTATTGGCAACAAGTGTTATGTCTTTATATTTAATCTGTAGTGAAACTTATATTTGGTTATCTTTCTTAAAATTGTATATAGGTTATTGTGAGTTCTAATTAAAACAAAACCATCCAAATGCGCTAAAATTGATTTTAACTTCATGCTCATATTGTTTTTTGGTTGTCCTTTTAGAGGTAGTTAACCGCCCAGCTAATGTTCCATTCAATTATCCAATGTACGCAAATACATTTGTTTAGTATTTGCTTACTGAAGTTGTCTTTTGAGGATTATAATGTTTTAAAAAGATTCTTGTCTTCTTAGTGATTTTTGGTCATTTGAAAAGTAGTATAAAATGTAACTTCATAGCTTTAATCTTCTTAACATTCAAGAGTCTTGATTTGGAATTTTCCCTTTAAAGTAGGGATTGGAAAGAAGGCTCTGTCATATTTAGCACAGAGCCAGGGCACTCCTGCTGCATTTGAGAGCTGGTGGAGTGTTTCTGTGTATCTCTTTCACAACCTCTGTAGATAAAACCCTTAAGCCCTTCTTAGGTTATGAATGTGGAGCAAAGAACTGATGGAGAAAGTTGGAATCTATACTCCATTGCCACCAAATAGCTACTTGAGAATGTAAGCTACTAGATTTCATATTGTTAAATAAACCAAGTCAATTAAACCCTTAAAAATTGAAAAAATAACAACAAAACCCAACCATCCATTCTATTAGATCAGATAACTGGTTGTTTCTTACCCACTTCTAAAGCAATTTTATTTCATGGTATTTCAGTCCTGAAAAATGGACCCTGGACTAGATTAGTATCTGATATATTTGTTCAAAATCCTTTACCTGTTGAGAGTGTTCCCAAATCTTTTCCATTTTGCTGTCATAGACTTCCATGTAATTTCAATGGGACTGTATAGACTTGTGTTCCTATCATAACTTGTTAACATCTCTGGATTTTTGTAAAGCTCTTTCCTTTCACCCCAGAGGTAGCTGTATTTCAGAGCATGATGGCATGTTTTGTCCTGTTTCACTTTGTAATTATAAAGTACATGGGAAGAATGGAGGATGAAAAAATATATTTTTTATTTTTGAGGCATTAATTTTTAAAACAATCTTATCTGATATTCTAAACTTTGACACTAATATATGTCAAGAGAAATAAATCTTCCTCGAGGCTACGTCTTCAATTCTCTAGGAAGTCAAGAGAATTTTAGAATTCTAGTACAATTGTAGATGGGATAATATTAAAACCTAAATTTCTTTAAAGGTAGGAATTAAATTCCAAATATTCCCTACAGATCAGTTTAATATTTTTATGGACATCTGCCATATAAAAATATTGCAAGGATTAGAGATGAGAGATACATACCATCCTGCCATTGAGGGGTTAACAAGGCGTTAACAAGACTGTACAAGTAAATATTTTAAAAATTGAATAAGGTAAGTTGCAGGGGAGATAACTAAGACAGTTGGTAAAATATGTAGATCCATTAAATTCTGTGCTATCAGAAACTCTTGTAGAGGTTCAAGTTTTTAAAGAAGTACTTGAAAATGGCCTTGATGTAGGCGCTTGCTAATGAGATGAGGCAGGTTGGGGAGGAGGTGTGGTTTGGGGGAGATAATAGTTTTAAGCCATAGCAAGGAAATGGCATTTTTAGGCAAAGACAGAAACTAATAGCTATAGTAGAACAACATAAAAGGAATTGAGAAATCGCAAGTTTAGGCCAGAGAGAAGGAGAAATTTGGTTTCTATAATTTTATAAAGTAGATAAAAGGGCATTTCTGTTTGTTTTTAGAATAATCACAAATCATTTGTGTGTATGATTTGTACCAGAACTGATTGTTATCCACGAGTAAGCTCTGAATCTCAGAATCCCATCAGCACAGTACTGATAATAGTCATATAACTATAGTAACTAGGTAAGAATATTTAATTTAAGCAAGCAGCAGATGATTAGAACCTTTAAAGAAACTAAGTTTCACTCTTAAAGAAACCACATTTTCTTTTCCACTCACTTCAGAATGTTCCCATTGAAAATCCTCTAATTATGTGCCACAAACTAGCACTGTGGATTCCTCACATACCTAGGCAAACTGGACATAGATGAGAATTGAACCTGAAGTTGGTTTTTGAGATTGATCTTTCCTGTTTTTGTGGAGGAGTTAAATTCTGACCTAATGTTATTATAATACCTTCCAATTTAAGTTTGATCATTAATTTGACATTACAGTCTGTGCAGTAAAATTGAAGTCACAGAAATTTTTATAATAATGTACGATACCAGGTTGCTAAAATCCTATTTGGGTGTTTTGAAGCAGTCAGGTTGTGTGACCCTAAAACGGGGTTTATAATGAAAATACTGACAAGCCCTTAAATAGAGTAGCTCTAAAGACTGCCTGAGAATATAAATGACCAGCCTCTCTGCACTACTGGGCCACATTTGCAAGCTCCTGCTACTTGTTATTTCACTAAAGGGTTGGGTTTGGATTCCTAACGGGAATGGGTGGAAGACAGGCCGATGTTCCTATTGTTGCTGTTTGCAGGTTAGAAGGCATATGGACACATTTTTTCCCTCTGTCTGCCTAGCAATGGAGGGTCTCCATGGTATCCTAGCAACCATATTCGAACACTAGGCTGCTGCTCTTTCTGCCATCTCTACCATAGGTGCTGCTACCCATCCCAAGGAACTGGGCCTATTGCTAGCATTCCAGACCCTCTGACTTAAACCTC